CATGGGCGCCCCCGCTGACGGAGCGGCTGGACGTGGGATTCGTCCGGAGGGTGGTGCAGACCCTCTTCCCCGATATCACCGGGGAGGACGGGGGGCCACCCTCTGAGTCGGAGGAAGACTCCTCCGACTGGGACGACTCCCTCGACGTCCAGCCGGAGGAACTCCAGAGGGCCGTCAGGAAGGGCCTGAAGGGCAACACTGCCCCGGGTCCTGACGGCCTTCCCAAGCGTGTCCACGCCCTGGCCATGGGCGTCCTCACAGAAGAGTACATGCGCTTATACAGCGCATGTCTAAGGAGAGGGGCCTTCCCCCCGCGGTGGAGGAGTGCCATGTTGGTACTCCTCCCGAAGGAGGGGAAAGACGCCTCTCTCCCGTCGGCGTATAGGCCCATATGCCTTCTGGACGAGGTGGGCAAATTGTTCGAGCGTATACTCGTGAACCGCCTCGTCCAGCACCTGTCCCAGCCGGGCCCCAACAACATCAGTGGGGCCCAGTACGGGTTCAGAGAGGGCCTGTCAACTATCGACGCTATTAAGCGTGTACAGGCCCTCTCTGAAGAGGCGACGTCCCAGGGGGGGGGGTGATGTTGGCGATATCGTTGGATATCTCCAACGCGTTCAACACCCTCCCCTGGGGACGAATCAGGTGGTCGCTTCGGCTCCGCGGGGTACCGTCGTACCTCGCCCGCGTCGTGGGCGACTACCTGAGAGACAGGTGGGTCGAATATACCGACCAAGGCGGCGTACGCCGACGGGAGAGACTGCACCGGGGAGTGCCCCAGGGTTCCATGCTGGGACCGTTCCTTTGGAATCTGGGGTACGACCCGGTGCTACGCGTTCCCCTCCCCCCCGGCTGTCACGTCGTCTGCTATGCAGACGACACACTTGTGACGGCCGGGGGCCGCGACTGGGGGGAGGCCATCTCTCGGGGAGAGGTAGCAGCCGGAGCAATTGTCGGCTCCATCCGCAGTCTGGGCCTCGAGGTGGCAATCGGTAAGACCGAGGCCGTGCTGTTCCACGATGGGGCGCACGGCCCGGACCCGAGGGACTCACCCTGACTGTGGGTGCAACCCCCGTCGAGATCAGGCAAGAGATGAAGTATCTCGGCCTGATTCTCGACGGCCGATGGAGTTTTAGGAGCCACCTTGCCGGTGCCGCGAAGAGGGCAGGGGAGCGAGCGGCCAAGTTAGGTCGTCTCCTCCCCAACCTCGGCGGACCGGATGGCAAGGTGCGCCGGTTGTACGCGAACACCGTAAAATCGGTAGCGCTTTATGGGGCCCCCGTCTGGGCTCCTCAACTCGCGGCATCGAGGCACGCGCGGGCCAGTATGGCCCGTGCCTTCCGCCCGATTGCCGCGAGAATTAGTAGGGCCTACCGTACGGTGGCGTACAACGCGGCGACGGTGATCGCCGGCCTCCCCCCGATGGAGTACGCGGCAGAGGAACATTATAATATGTTCCTCGAAAGCCGCGACTCCGGGGGGAGGCCGATTCGATGGGCGGCGGACCACCGTGCTCAGAGGAGACTCCAGCACCGGCGGCGCGCAATCGCCAAGTGGCGAGAGGCGTTAGTGGCCTCGGGGGACACTACCCCGGGGCTCCGCGTCGTCGGTGCAATCGGGCCCCTCCTCGACCAGTGGGTCGATAGAGGATGGGGCGGGTTGTCCTTCCGGATGACGCAGGTGTTGACGGGGCATGGATGCTTCGGTCACTACCTGTGTCGTATCGGAAGGGAGCAGAACTCCGGCTGCCATCACTGCCAGGCCGGGGACGACACAGCCCAGCACACGCTGCGCGAGTGTCCAGCGTGGGCGGGCGAAAGAGAGGCGCTCACCCGGGTGCTTGGACAGGACCTCTCCCTTCCGGCGGTGATAGCCGCCATCCTGGAAGAGGAGAGGTCCTGGCACGCGTTTGCCTCCTTCTGCGAGAAGGTTATCTCGCAGAAGGAGGCAGCGGAGCGGGAGAGGAGGGGGCATGTAAGCAACGACAGCGGCGGCAACAGCGTCGGGCTCGGGGAAGACTTCCCCGGGCTCGGCCTGTTCGACCTGCCGTGGGGGACGGGGCGGGGGTTGTGTCTGGGGGTGGGGGTGCCGACGGGGGGACGTCCTCCCCTCGGCCTTCTCCCCCCCCCCATGACGCGGAGCCGGGCGGCGTTACTCGCCCGTGCTCCCGCCCTCACCCCGTCCCCCCCTCCGCCACCCACACCAC